CATGGTGACTGGCAGGTGTCTTTACCTTAGAGATGGGGGGAAAGCAAGTCTCTGTCAAGTGAATCCTCTATTATAGTGTTGGACAAAACAGTTCTCATCTGATCAGCGAGTCTAATGGGCAGTGCTGAATCTGATTCAAAGAACAGAGGAGACAGGCACGAGGTGGAGACAGAAATCCATCCCTGTCACCCACCCGGCATATGCAGTGTTTTCAGCAAAAGTGGCCCCAGGTCCCTGGAGAGTAACCTCGGCACCTGTCGCCATCCAAACCCACTCCTCGGGATGTGATCTACAGCAATGATCAACAATTACAGATTAACAATGCCGTGCCCAGCTGGGTGGCCTGCCGAATTGGTGATTTTTAAGTCAATTAAGAGCAAAAGAAGCAGCAACTTCAGAACAATTAAAAATGATGTTCTTCCATCCATTATCACGCGCCCCAAATGTTACTTCAGTAACATTTAGAAATATCTTCTTACCTCTTTCACCGATAAGATTGAGAAAATGGAAAACTAAAGCTAAAACTGGATCCTAGAATTGGCTGGATTTCTGTGCTGGTAAAATCATAGGCTTTCTGAAGATAATTGGGATATCCATCAGGAAGAAGCAGGACAGAGAGGATCAGAATGGAGCTGTAAGAGAGGGTCTGAAAAGCTTGGCACCCTTTGAATCATTTGTTCTCAAAGAGCCTCCTCTGTCCCCAGAGAACCCCCATCTCCTGTCTTCTGAAACATTTTGCAAAAAAACACTATAAGCCCTTCGTTTCTTTTGCAGGAGTCACCCCGTGAGAGAAAGTCAGTTGTCCATGTGTACTAACCTCTGTTACACTCAGGATGTACACCGTTAAATGCCAGCATGCTTCAAAAGGAGTCTCAGTCAGTTTACCATGGTTATGACAAAGTACCTGAGGTCGGGCACTATATAAAGAAAGAGGTTTACTGAGCCAATGGTTGTGAAGGCTGAAAGTCCAAGATCAGGTGGCCCCATCAATCAACCTCTGGTAAGGACCTCCTGCAGATGGCATCGTGATGGGAACATTTACTAGAGGGAAGATGACACGGTGACATAGGAAGTGAGTGCAGGAAGCAGCCAGGCTCACTGTTTTCTCTCTCAAGCACTAACCAGCGTCCCACAGGGGCTACCCCATCACTTCTGAGAGTGGTGCCCTGCGGTCTGTTGACCTCCCACCAGGCCCCACCTCTTAAGGTCCCACCTCCTCACAGCTCCACTGCCCCAGGACTGAGTTCCAGCCAATGAACCCTGGGGACACATCAACCCTCATCCAAACCCCAGCAGCGGGCAGTGGCAAATGCAAACCTGGTAGCACAAGTCAGAAACTCACATCGTCTCAAGATTGTTCTAATTTTAATTTATGAATATGGGGAAAAGGTGTTGGGAAGGATTTTTAGGTGCCGGACAATGGACGGAAGGTCTCCGTCTTAACTTGTCCTGAAGTTGCTGATGCAGACACTTGTCACAGTGGTTCTGGACTTACTGTGCTAGCGTGAGGAGCCAGGCATGACTTCTGAGACCTGGAGACTGACCTTGAACTCCAGGTGACTGTTCCTAGCACACTGAGTCCCGTCTGTGATCCGAGCTGGCCGGCATGCACTGGGTCATCTAACACTCGTAAAACACCACTGATACGGGGCTGGGCCTGCGGGGTCCTGAAGACACGGTGAGTCACATGTGCAGGTGGCCTGCTATGTATGTGCCTGCTCCTGAGCCCTTCAAACATCTCACTGTGTCCCGTGGAGGGTCTCCCGGGAACCCATGACTGAGAAAGGAAAAGCCACCGAGCTTGTCACTATGAATGGATGACTGTGATGCTCCAGCTCCAAAGAGGGCCGCGGATGACGGGTGTCCACTCTGCTGGGAGGAAAGAAAGTTTGATGAAAGAAGATTTATCGTTTAGACAAGTGGCTTGGTCAAATGGTTAAGAACTTGAACGAAGCAAGGTTGGGGTTTGAGGAGACCTATGTGGTCTCCCCCTCCCAGAATGGGTCAAATTTGAAAGTCATTCATCAAGTAAAGGCACCTCCTCCAAATGCCCCCCAGTGGACAGGGCTGTCTGCACGTGTGTGACCTGCCTTCCTCAGGGATTCCATCGCTTCCCCAACTGATCCATGAAGAAGTGACCATGTCGGCAAAGACGGGACTGTTGCAGATTTGGGCACAAGGACATTCCCTCCTCAGTGCAGACCTGGCCCAGACTGCACACAGTGTCAGTGGCCACCCCAGATACTGACAGCGGTCCAGGCACGTCGTGGACTGAGTCATGGACAGATGACTTTGGACTTCTATGGAAAGGGCAGTGATTAGTCCCCACTGGAATGGACACTTACTGAGGGTTTTGGAATTCTCTTCAGTGCCTGCCACAGCATCAAGGTAATAGAGTGTCACTGTGGACCAAGGGATTCTCTGTCCAGCAAGAAAGGCACGGCCGTGACCCTAGTGCAGTCACCCGTGCTGACCCCCACATGACTTTACTAGAGATTCGGTGGACGTCGCCTGATGACGTGACTTCTGACTAGTGACCAGCACGGGCTGCTGTCTCTCCCGCAGCCAGGCCAAGCAAGTCTGGAGGAAGAGGGATGGGGACGGTGTCTCCTCCACTTCATGACTCTCCTGCTCTTTGACTTCATGCTCCACCCATTATGGATATGGGTGCCCAAGAAATAAAGGCTCCACCACAGGGCAGCTGGCCTTTGGAAAGAACAGGGGTGAGGTGTGCGTGGGCATCAGTGCTCTCAAGGCGGACATTTCCATAAAAGAGCGAAAACAGGGCATATGTAGATGTTGATCCAAAAAAAAAAAATCAGTTAACCAATTAATTAACCAATCCAGCAGGAGTCTAGACCCGTGATCTGGGGTTTCCCACACCATTAGGTAAATAGGCCTAAAGAGTGGGTCCTGTCACTGAATGCAGAGATGAACCCTGGGGAAGGAGTGACACTTTCCACCTCCGGGACATGCTGGTCTCCGTGCCTGCAGGGAGTGGGGTGGGGTCAAGGCCCTGCACAGTGTGAACCACCCCACCTGTGGCTCTGAGGTGCTGGTTGGAAATGGGAAGCATCCAGGTCTCTCTTCCAGGGGACAAAGAGAAAGCTCTGGCCTGTGTCACGTGCATATTTAAATATTTCAATTGTCTTCTATCTATTCTGTTGCGTATGGGGCACGAGGTCATTGTTAACTTTAGGGATCAGACCAAAGACTGTTGGAAAATGAGATGGAACTGTCAACGGGAGCCAGGACCCAAGAGCGGGGGGCAGTGTGCATTCACTCTCACAGGCAGGGCAACAGTTTCCAAAGAGGTGTCCAGTGTCCAGGGAGCAGCACTGTGGTCATGGCACCTAAGCCCAGCTCTTCTTCAGGCATGATTGGGCCTTGGTCCCAGACCATGGGCTTTCTCGGCTCCAACTCATTTCCATTTCCGATTCTCCTACAAATCCTGTGAGTCTCTTAATTGCCACCCGTGGATTTCCTCTCCTGCTGGAGTAAGCTGGAGTTGGCTGAGGTTGTTTACAGCCAAACATCTCCCGGCCTTCTCACCTGAGCTCCCTTTGCTCCCACTGGTGCTGGGTGGGGGAGATGTTCCTTCCAAACACACAGTACATTCCTGAGAAGCATCAGCTCCGGAGGACAGAATACGACACAGGTCACCCACAACAACATTCCCTTTATTGATATGAATCACAGTTACAAGGTCTTAGCTGGCAGAAAGAACAATCTCAATTATGCAGAACCATACCCAAAGACAAAAATAAAACACATGTACACCAACCGACCACCACACCAGCTCATCCCAACCCATCAACCCTCTGAATGTGTCTGCGATTTTGATCACCAGTGCTTTGGAAGAACATACACTGACCCAGCCGAAGGGTGGCCCTTGGGGTCTTGGAGCATTCGCGGAGAAGGACATTTGCCCTTGGAAACAACGGAACATGTAAACTCAGAGATCAGGCGCCGAGAACACAGTGCCTACATTACTGGCTCCTGGCTGCGTGCCTTCCGGACAGAGGGCCTGTCGTTCTGCTCGGTCATTTCAGAATGATATGTACTTTTCCTATCCCTCTTCCTTTCCCAACCAGAGCCCCCTGGCCAACTCCGACAAAGCTAGCTGTGGCTCCAGGGTTCTCGGTTGGGTTGTAAGTTACCAAATAGCCTGTGGGGAAGGACCCACGGCAGGTCCCAAGTGTCCCTCCTTCACTAA